GATATGGGGGAAAACAATTGGCCGGTGCACAAAAGATGCGTTTGGAAATGTGCAATATAACTCGAGTCATTGAGGTTAAAACCTGGAGTCCTACCATGTTTTTTGAGATGAATGTTGTCCTCAACCTCGGAGTCTGAGCTGACCCTATCACTGCTGGTCATCCACGGCACTGCCAAAGTAACCTTGTTTTCCTCATCAGGAGAATCGTCACTATCCAACCACGATAAGTTAAGAGTGATGCAGTTTTGACCTTCATCCTCCATCCTTATTCAAAAGTGTTAACGAAACTAATGTCAAAATGACATTGACTTTGAAGAAAAGAACGATCTGTACTCTAGGAAGATTCCAACGAGACTAAGAAAAGAGCGGACTAAATGACTGTGTTATACCAAGGCAGTTGGGATCTTAGATGTCAATCTTACATAAAATTAATTGATTTTGAGAATGAGGGTCAAATTAACTTGATGTTCGTGCACTGCTAAGTGAGCGTGACTTTCGTCTTCAAAAATCACCATTTCCTATAAGACTTAGGTAAACTTGGCTTTAAATATTTTACACCTAAAATCAAACCCACTTGGTTAGGTAAAGCAAACCCAAGCTTCATATCCGAATTTTTCTTTTGTTCCTTACAAGGAAGAACGGTCAAGAAGGGTAATCGAACATAAGTGCTCTAGGGTCTCCGGTCTCCGGTGCGCGTTTGTAAAAACTAAAGAGGTTACGTTAGTATAGCAGTAGTTTTAACAAAACCAAGGTCGCTCTAGCTTTGTTTGTTGTATTGATGTCAATAAAGAAACACGTCGGAGCGACTTTACAAATTATTGATTAATGCCAGACGTATTGTAAATCTCGAAGCATCAGCCGACATCGCACGTGCTTGGAATCGTTGGACAGTAGCGGATAGCGGTAGCGGTCTGTGTAACACATATCATTTTCATATCTTTCCTATGCGTACAGACACTCGGCACGGCCGCCGGGCGTTCAAGAGTCAAGAGTTATTCAGGTCACGTATTTATTTATTTTTTTTAAACCGAACGGTACCCACGAGAAGACGCGTCTCTCCCGTCGTTGAGCCGCCCATACCCGGAAACAAATCTCAGCGAACGTCACACGCTGCCACAAAAAATGGAAAACAGGTGCATTTAAAGGAAGAGAGAGAGCTTTCGTGAAGTGTTCGTGAAGACCAGATAGCAAATAGAAATCATTCCCGGCTTAGCGAATGGCCATCCCTATATGCACCTACCCGCCCTTGCAAGGGAGGGATAGGGGGAAAGAGAAAGGGGCGAGAGAGGAAGAGAAGAAGAAGGAGTGAGAGAGAGGGAGTTGGCTGGTGTGATTCACCCCACCCGGCGGGCGGCAGGTCGACAAGGCCGAGCCCAAACAACAGTTTGAAGGAAGTCCTCCACTCCCTCTCCCCGCGACACGGCGCCGAGGCGCGGCATGTACGGGGAAAAGATGACGAACAACGAGCACCGTGCCTGGAATTTCCCGCTAACCAATCCGAGTTGCTGCTCCGTCAGCCCGCGCCGCGCCCCTCCCCCATTGCATGCAAAGTTGCCGTTCGTGGCTGCGGTCGGAGGGGAGATGGGGTGGGGGAGGGGGGTGAATCAATTCTTCTTGACCTCCAGTCTCGTGTACAAAATGACGAGCTTAGTCACAGCACAGCCGCTGCTGCTGCTACCGCCACCGCGACGTCGACAAACAGAGAGGATGTCTGCTCACTCCGCCTTCGGTTTCGTAAAAGATGCAACCATAAGTTAAATATGATTCAGTATGATTAGTAGTAAATGTGAAGTTTTCAGTTTTAACTATATTTCCTCCATAGATTAACTTGGATACAAGGCAAAAGTGTCACAAAGTAGGAGCCTAGAACCGTTTGCACGTTACATAATATACATTATATATGCGGATTGGTTTCATTGGGCACAAATTTTGAGGGGAATTTCACCCTTTAAATATCGAGTTACATCGTCTCTCTCTCTTGAACAAAATCACCACCATCCAAATCATTGTCTCCCCGGCCTCAACGAACTGCCCATGCAGACTTCTGCATCTGTGCGTAGGAAGCGGTAGGAAGCCTTGTACAACCTGTTGCACTTAGCCAAGCAGGCTACGCTCATAGGCAATAAAGCTTTCAGGAAATGTTTACAATTGTGCTCTTCCCAAGAAAAAAATTCTATAAAATACTTTTTTCTGCTAAAACTATGACTTGTTTTTCTTGCGAAGAGGCGGTTCGTTGTCGCCGTGCTGGAAAGCCATACAGGACGGACGTCCAACAGGTGGAGTCACACATGACAGTCGGTCACTGGCCTGCCGCCCCGCCTCGCCCCAGGTAACGGCCGGCGCACGCACCTCGCATATTGATGCAATTGCCTACCGCCCAGGGGCACACAGGGGGGCAGCGGCGGCGATACATGGTGAGATTATTATTTTAGAGACGTAAGTTGAGAGCCATTTACTTTTAATAATATCTCTCACAACAAACATAGAACATACAGGGTGGCCGCTCTGCGCCGTTGTTTGAAAAGGGTAGACTAGCCCGCCCGCACCTTCCTCTCCCGTCCCCTCTCACCTCCCCTCTCCGTCTGCGAGCGGGCTAGTCTACCTTTTCAAAAGAACGGGGCAGAGCGGCCACCCTGTATAACGGCAAGACGTTCGCCCTGACACATGAAACGCCCTTACTTCCGCCATGCAGAAGCTGAAAACGCTTCGTGTCATCTCCTATACGCGACGTAGTCGATCTCTCGACGTGGACCCCGCCGCCGGTGGTGGTGCGAGGTGACCCCGGGCCGCCGCCGGCCCCGCCCCCCAGACGGCCCCGCCCCAGACATATTTGGAAGTGAAATCTGATTTTCAATTCGGATTGGGCATTGGCGGGGAGGGAGGGCCCCTCCCGTCATTACAAGTCCGACTGCAATGCGACCCGAACCAGCCTGGCGAAGCCTGACCCAGTTGGATTGTTTTTATGCCCGGCCGACACCCCGGCCCGGCGCGGCCCCGGGGGGAAGTCCTCGTCACAACCACCTCTGGGGAGTCCTTCGGGCACCCGCCGCGCAGTCCAGCCAGCCTACGGAGAGACCTTATTGCAGAATACCCGAGACACCCTTGGGTCAGCGTGGTGGGATAGGCACCTTCCAGCACTAAAATAATGTTCTTAATTCTAAGGCAGGGCCCCGCAGGGCCTCACATTTTTGACAACGACGTTCTTGCGCTAATAAAAGGGGTTGAGGTAAGAACATTGGTCTGGAAAAAATCAAGAACATAGTCTTTCGGGTGAGGGAAGACGAAATAAGGGAAGTCCGCGACTGGAGGCACCCATGGGGTCCTGACACGCCACACACGACGGACACCCACGGCCTGCCAATCGAGGATCTCCTCGACAATAAAAGAAACTCCTCAAGCATAACAGACGGGCAGCGGCAACAATAACAGTAACGTTTCGTATTTTTTTCTTCACCCCTCCCCCCTTTTTCCTTCGGCCGTTGGCCGTTTCCTTTCCGTTCGCTGCTGCTTTGGCGGAGCAACAATGAAACAATGCAAGCCGCTACCGGACACCGGGCCGGACAATTAGAGCGCGGCAAAATAACGCGGAGGCCAAAGTGACAGTGTTACACGGAAGGAAAGCGAGATAGCGGCAAGCGTGCATGTAATGCAGCAAAAGTCACTGCAAAGGCACATTATTAACTTACTCATCAAGGGGGCCCAACTCCCAATCTGGTAACGGTAATTAGGTATGCAGTTTTAAAAACTGTCATCCTGTTGCACAGTTTGATGAACAGAGTAGCGTTGTGCAAAACGCACGAACAACAATAAAATCACAATCGTCAAACGAAAGTTGAGCGAGTAGTTGCTGGTTTTCGTGCCATGCGTGATCAGGACATCACATTCAAAGAGAGCCGGTACGGAAAATCAGAGCGTGCTCACCAGCACCCCCCTCCTCTTCCTTCCTCCCCAGCAGATCTGATGCGACCCGCCCACGGTGTTACTGTTAACAATAATGGCGGCCCCCAGTTTTCACTTCGCGGTCAATACGACAAGCCACCTTTTAATTAAGTACATTGCATAAGGAGGAAGGGCGTAAGGCTCGGTCGCGGCGGCGGCTTGGGAGGCCGCAGTGATGTCACAAGCTCGTCACAAACTGAATCAAAGCGATTGCATATTGCAACCTGTTTGTGGACGCAAAACTAGGCAACGGATCTAGAAATGCAAGGCGGGACAGTCTGTTCAAGTTGTCATTAAACAAACCCGCTAACAGAGAGGGGAAGAGGGCGGGGAGGAGAGGGG